TTTAACGAAACGAAAGCTTACATCTCATATTGGATAAGGTATCTTAGGTTACCACTTTCCCTATCTTCAATTAAAAGTCCCTCTGATGAATGACCGACCATGTGTAAATCATACTTTATTTGTGCATTTCGTGTGTACACATCCATCAAAATCCCATACAAGAGTGAAAGTGAGAGTGAAGAAACCCTACATGTAAATAATAATCTATTCCTAACCACACATTCTCACATAAACCCCCCATCAACAAGCACCCAAACTTCGCTATCCCATACTTCTTCACTCCATTCATTTTTCTTTGCAATGCCATAACCAAGTCACTTTTCTCAATCAAAAAAAGAGAGTAAACAATAAAATCATAGATCTTGCAAATTTCTAAAGGCTTTCAACACCGAACGAATTCAACGCACACTCACGCACAAGGACCGAGTCTGCAAGCAAGCACGCACGCACGCACGCACGCACATGACATATAAACAACGCAAAATTCACTTCTTTTCTCCCTAAGAATCAGAGGAGAGGAAGGGGGGGGGGGTGATCACCATGGCCACGACCATCCTTTCGCCCTTTAATCGTTTATTTATTAAGTAATCATTTTTAAAATCTAATAAAAACGCCACTGAGGAGTATCACTGAGGAAAACTAAAAGAAGACAGGCGAGGGAGAGAAAATGAGGAGAGGATGGGGGGGAGGAGGATGGGAAGAGAGAGGCAAGGCAGCAAGAAACAGGCGGAAAGGGGGGTTGACAGGAAAGAAAAGAGAGATGAGAGAAGGATGAAAGAAAGGGAAGAGGAGGAGAGGAGGAGAGAGGGAGGAGGGAGGAGGGAGAGGGAGAGGAAGAGGGAAGAGGGAGAGAGAGGAAGAGGGAAGAGGGAAGAGGGAAGGGGAAGAGGGAAAGAGGGAAGAGGGAAGAGGAAGAGGGAAGAGGGAAGAGGGAAGAGGGAGAGAGGGAGAGGGAGAGGGGAGAGGGAGGAGGGAGGGAGAGGGAGAGGGAGAGGGAGAGGGAGAGGGAGAGGGAGAGAGAGGGAGAGAGAGAGAGAGAGAGAGAGAGAGAGAGAGAGAGAGAGAGAGAGAGAGAGAGAGAGAGAGAGAGAGAGAGAGAGAGAGAGAGAGAGAGAGAGAGAGAGAGAGAGAGCGTGGTAGAGAGAGAATGTGTATGTGTAGTGAGAGAATGTGTGTGTGGTAGTGAGTGGAGTGTGAGTGTAACTGTAAGTGTTGTGTGGTGAGTGTAAGTGTGTGAGTGTAAGTGTGTGTGAGTGAATGTGTGAGTGTAAGTGTAAGTGTAAGTGTAAGTGTAAGTGTAAGTGTGTGAGTGTGAGTGTGAGTGTGAGTGTGAGTAGAGTGAGAGTGTGAGAGTGAGAGAGTGAAGAGTGAGAGTGAGAGTGAGAGTGAGAGTGAGAGTGAGAGTGAGAGTGAGAGTGAGAGTGAGAGAGAGTGAGAGTGAGAAGAGAGAAGAGAGAGAGAGAGAGAGAGAGAGAGAGAGAGAGAGAGAGAGAGAGGAGAGAGAGAGAGAGAGAGAGAGAGAGAGAGAGAGAGAGAGAGAGAGAGAGAGAGGAGGAGGGGGGGGAGGGGGGAAGAACAGGGAAAGGGAGAGATAGGGGAAGGAGGAGAGAGAAGGAGAGAGAGCGAGCTAGCTGGTACTTTTACGTAATATTTCAAAAGTACAATTAATTTCATAATTTACCCAAATACATGCCATTTTATTTATCTGTTGGTTTAATGATTTTCTATATTCGAATTTAAGTAACGATACATTTTAATGATAATAACAAAAGGATAATGCAATCATATAATAAGTATACAAAGACAATAATGCTTGTGATGATGGCGATAGTAATAATAATTACCATAATAACTATTAGTGATAGTGATAATGATAACGAGAGTAATGGTGATGATATTAATACCATTGATAAAAAAGAAATAGAAAAATAATAATGAAAAATAATACTAAATAACTGACCCATTAATAACACCAATAAATAACAATAACAATAATAACAAAAACAATAAATAACAATAACTATAAGAACAATAATAATAATAATAATAATAATAATAATTATCATTATTATGTTGGTGATGATGACAATAACGATAAAAAGAAATAAGAATAACAAATACAACCATTATTAATAACAAAAATACTTAACAAGAAAATGGCCAACCAAAAGAACCAACAATAACATGATAATGATAACGGTAGTAACATGATTAGTATCATGATTATGGTATCATTCCCGCTATTGGTACTCCAAATAAATATAATCAATTATATCAACAACAAATAAAATAAGACCAATCAAATAAAAACAATATACTAACGACAGTTTCAGTAACGATAAAGAATAAGATACTCAGATAAAGGCAGATTAGTTATCAAACCAATTAAGAGTATAGTGATCATTAAACCATAATAATAGCAATATCAACAGTAACTACTAAATTGATAGGAACAGTTGGAAATAAAGAACGGACAAACTCGTAAGTAATAGCAAATTATAGGAATTATATTAATAGTATTAGATACCACTGATAATATGAGAAGAATGGCATTAACAAGAATAAATAATAATGACAATTCTAATCATAACTAATAATCTAAAAATGACTAGAACTAATAAATAAATAAAATGTCTTACTGAACAATATCACGGTTCCAAAATTACTCGAGCGCGCATTTTAACTTCCTTTATGCAATTTAATTAAATGGCTAAACGATTAATTTAAGTTGATTTAAACGCTTATCGAAAGCTTTAGCCTAACCTCGCCACAACGTGCTACCTTCAAACACAGCTTGGGCAACAAAGCCTTTATTGTTAAGCTGCATTTGAAGCCAATCTGAAACCGAAATTTCTATCTAAAAAAAAAAAATAATAATAAAACGTATTATATACCTATTCTTGGATCTAGAACATTCACCAGCATCACCTCGACAAAACCATATGCGGCAAGATGTAGAGAAAAAATAAATAAATAAAAATTGTTTGAAGACAAGGCAAACTGCAAAACCCAAAAAATTGGTAAACATTTTGAAATTCCGAAGATAATTTCCGATACATTATTCTGCATGTTGCAATGACCTGACTTTTGTCTCGATTTATCTTTTACGACCTTCGATATTTTTATTTCTTTTAGTAGATCACAATTCCCAGAATTCGTTCCGTCTTTTTTTATTACATACACACACAACTTTCTTTTTTTTAGAATTCGAGATAAAAGAAGACTGGATGGATTCGAAGACATGCTTGCGGCCACGCACACTTCCCTTCGCCTGACTACTCTGTCCCGTCCCGTCGTTTGCCTGGCTAGCCTACCTACCCCTGGGGGCTCATGGACACGTCCCCCCTAGGTGACTCCCACGTGAGAGGTCACACCCTGGCTACCTAAGGGGGCTCATTAAATGTCCCCCGTCCTAAATAAGGTGTTTTATTTTATGTGTTCACTAGATTTATATATACATATATTTCACATGGAGTGCAATATACATATATACGTTGCTGGACCCCAGGGCTCATAGTGTGTCCCTGCGTCCTCCCCCAGCCGCGGGGGGCCGGGGTGCCACTGCAAGGACGGCTGGCGCCACGGACGTCGGGACCTGAAGCAGCAGCTGACGTGGCACGGGCGGACCCTCGGCTCATCCGTGCTCCCGGAGTGGGTTTACAGGGAAGAAGGTCAACTTTTTTATTTGGACATTACAGAGGAGATGATCGCCGCTTTCCGGTGTCTGCACTGCTGCCAGAACTGGAAGAAGGAACACTTCAACCCGTTTAAGAGCAAGAGTGTACATGGGGGTTGGGAGGTTTTATCTCAACTTCCACATCTGATCATTGAAACAATGGTACCCAAAATGAAAGCATTGATAAAAAAACATCCTGTAAAGATAGGCACCGTCATGTGAGATTTGTATAATATGACCTGAAAATATCAAGTTGACGTTAAGAACAGGTGGAAGATATGTTCACCAGATAAAACAGTCATGTTGATTTCTTACAGATCTTACACTTTGGATCTGCTCATGTCCTTACAAAACGAACACTGGTTCACATATGTCCCATAACATGAGGTAGAGAACTGGTAAAAACGATAACAATCTATGACTATTTCTCCACATTCAAAGGAATGACTGCATAGTGTACAAACTCTACCCATCTGAAATGACTGTTCATCTCATTTCTCATGATATTTTCCAAGAAAAAACAAAACATCCCTGGGTGATTATCATAAATGGATGTCCTCTTACAATGCATTTACACTTGCAACACCTTTACCTTACAAATAGAAAATTGACTTTTGTGAACTGCAAGGCCACTTATCAAATGTTACACCAAGCCAATAGGAGGCCTTCCACATTTTCCAACTACCAGTTCACAAACAGCTCACATGCGAGCGTGGTTGTGAACACAGGATGGGTTCTTCTGTGATACAATTGTTCCTAAAGTAATCACCTATATCCCCGACCAGGGCACTTTGGGAGCTGGAGTTGGAAGTCTTCTTTAGAATAAAAAATAAATAAATGTGGAGCTAATGGATTTACGTTTCCTTTATCATTATTCGCAAGAACACAAGAGAGAAAAGTATGACTTAAATCGAATTATCATCTTGTGAACGGCCTGCCAACTCCAGCTACCCTGAAGTCCCATGTTAGGCTAATGTCTGTCTCGCCACTACCTTCGAGAAAAAGAGGGAGGAAGAGGTAAAAAAACGGGAAAAAATAAAGCAAAGAATGACGAAGAGAAAGAGAACTAAATGGGAAAAAAGGTGAGAATAAAGTAAAAGTATAAAATAAAGGATAAAAAATATCTATTCATATTTTAACCATACACCCCCTACGAGATGACTTCTATAACTGATATTACGAACCAAATACTGGAATACAAGAAAGCAAGAATAGAAAGAAAGGAAAAGGTAGATATGAAAGGGGGAAGAGCCAAGAAACAAGGAGCTATGCGCAACGCCCTGAAAGCAGCGCAGGTAGCGGCGAGCGTCTTCCGTCCACTTACGTCGTTTGGGCGAAATTAGCTTGACTCCACCGGGCTTGTCGGCGTTGAGCGGTGACGACGAGACGGACGACCTCACGCGCTTGTCGGGCTGCGAGGACGCCAGGTCGTCCAGCGGTGACGGCCTCTTCAGCCCCCCTGAAGGAGACAGCGCACTCCCCCCAGCCAGGCCCCCGACGACGCCCTTCTTCTCCGCCCCGGCTGGTTTCTTGCCGGCGACCCCCGGGAGCTTCGTGGGCTCGTCCAGAAGCCCCGTGTTGCGGAAGCCCCGCGACTTGTACGTCTTGACCGAGGGCTTCTTGGCCTCGTTGAGCTCCGAGTCGGCGGAGCCCAGCGCGTCCAAGAAGCTGGCCTGCTTCCTCGGGATCTTGGCCAGGCCGTCGGCGCTGTGGGGCTTCACCTTCTCCAGCGTGGCCTTGACCTCCGACTCCTGCTTCTCCTTGTTCTTCCTCTCCTTCTCTCGCTCCTTTTCCTTCTCTCTGCTTCTCTCCCGTTCTTTCTCTTTATCTCTACTGCTGCTCTTCTTGTCTCTACTGCTGCTGCTTTTACTACGGTCCTTGTCTCTCCTATCCTTATCTTTGTCTTTACTACTGCTACTGCTACTTCTGTGTCTCTCTCTCGAGCTCTTTTCCTTCTCCGATTTGCTGCTGCTGCTGCTTTTGGAACTTCTGCTTTTCTCTTTCTCCTTTTCCTTCTTTTTGTCCTTCTCCGACTCCTTCGACTTTCTCTCCCGCTCTTTCTCTTTGTCTCGACTGCTTTTCTTTTCCTTGTCTTTGTCTTTCTCTTTGGATTCGCTTTTGTTTTTACTATCTACAACGTCTTTACTCTCAGAGCTGGCCGGAGAGGAGCTATCGGCGCTTGCTCCATTCATGTCTTTATTGTCCACTTTCACATCTTTCCCTTCATCTTTCACTTCGTCCTCCCCTTCCCCCTTGGCCGTGTCACTGGCCTTCCCTTCGTCCTCCCCGTTCACTCCCTTCGCCTCGTCGTCCTTGCCGCCCGCCTCCTCCGCCTCCTCGGCCGCCGCGGACGGCTGCGTGGCGGCGGGCGAGCTCGTGCTGGACAGCCCTCCCGTAAAGGTCACGATGGTGTGCACTGTGGGCGTGGTCCCTGACACGACGGCGCCCTCTGCGGTGGCGCCCTCAGCACCGTTCGGCTGAACATCATTGGTCTCTGGAGAGGTAGTGGCTGTGCTGTCGGCCCCGGCCTCGTCACCGGCTGGGGCGGAGAGCGAGGTAGTTGTGGTAGCTGTAGGCGCCGCGGCGGGCGTGCTTGAGGTAGTTGAGGCCGCGCCCGCCAATGCCTTCTCCGCCTCCAGCGCCTTCCGCGCCTGCCGGGCCTTCTCCACCTCCTGCTTGATCACACTCAGGGGCTTGTTGTCGTCACTGTCGGTCGAATCCTGGCTCAGGCGCTGCGACGACACCTTGGCCAGCACCTGCGAGCCGCTGCGGATCGTGATGCGGATGGGCGTGGTGGGTGCGGGCGTCGTGTCGCTCTCCGTGGAGGCGTTGGACGACTCGTCCTGGCAGTCGAGCGAGGAGCTGGCGTCGCCGCCCTCGCCCAGAGACGACTCCCTGGAGCCAGCCTGGGGCGTCTGCGAGGGCCCCGTCTCGCCCTTGTCCTCGTCCTCGGGGTCGGGCGAGGTCAGGTCGACCAGGGTCGCATCCTCCTGTTGGAAGGGCGCCGCGGCCGCGCCTTCCGCTCGCTCCTCGTCGTCGTCGCCGGCGCAGGCGTTGCCCAGCCCGACGCCGGCCGCGGTGCCGTCCCCCTGCCGCACCACCTCCATCCACTTGTGCACCAGCTGCTTGGCCGTGTTTTGTACATCTGCCGAAGACAAGCGAAACAAATGCACAACCGGAGATAAAGCAAAAATCACACAAATATCCAAACCCAAACCATCTCAATTCCCGAAGGAGCGCGCCGCCCTCACCTTCGCTAGGGCAGTCCCTAGACAGCTCCTTGACCAGCTTGGGCGTGGTGGTCCTCTTGAGCCTCGTGACCGTCATCGGGGAGGTGTCCAGCAGGGTCAGCACCTGTCCGGCCAGCGGCCAATTCTTCGAGCTCACCGCTTCCTGCAGCCACGCGCCCACCAGCTCCCAGCCTCCTTCCTCGTAGAACCTGAAACGACGCCAACGACAAACCGACTTTCAGCCGCGGTTTAACCATCGGAACATGCTCTCTCTCTCTCTCTCTCTCTCTCTCTCTCTCTCTCTCTCTCTCTCTCTCTCTCTCTCTCTCTCTCTCTCTCTCTCTCTCTCTCTCTCACATATCAAGGTCATTCATAGTATCTATTCACTTAAAAAGGGAACATATTTTTTCACAAATCTAAAACAAACAAATATAAGCACGGAAATGTATAGTGACACATGCGTATGTAACGTGCATGAATGCGTGTAGGTGTGATAGTAAAGACATGGTCAAGAAGGAACAACTCTAACAAGCACGGGGTGTAGGTGTAAGATTTTAAAACAACATCCTCATCAGAATTAACAGCTTGCAAATCACACACGCACCACATAAGGGCTGTCATCCGCCACCTTGCGCATAATGAACACGGCCGTGACCTTCTAACACGTCCCCTTACCTACGCACATATGCAGAACCTTCTTCTCTTTAACATTCTACCTTTTGAGAGATTCTCGCTAAAAATCTGACAGGTTGCGCGCTTCAATCTACGTGTTCTGTCATGGCGGACTTGTGTTCGGTGAGGGCGGATTCTGCGGTTGAACCCAATGTCGATGTTGAAAAGCTTTGTCACCTTTACAATGCGTTATGGAGTGTATGGTGCTGTTGGGAGTTATTTGCTATCGGTCTTTCATTTCTTACTCAATCTCTTACTCAAATTTATTTCTTACTCAATCTCTTACTCAATTTTTACTCAATATTTCTTCAATTCTTACTCAAATTTATTTACTTCTTACTAAATCTTATCAATTTCTCAAATTATTTCTTACTCAATACTATTTATTTCTTACCAATCTTACTCAAGCCCCTTCGTTTCTAACCGGGCGTCTTGGCGAGCCTGACGCAGGTGGCTAAATACCTCCACGCCAGCCTCGAAGACGATGCTTTCCCCCCAATCCCAGGAAGAAGGGAGATCTTACCACTACCCTTCCTGTGACGCTTCCCTTTTTCTACTAATCTTAAACTTTTCTTAAAGGAAAATTAAGAAACCCGTGCCTGTCCCTTCCCAAATAGCCCCCCCCGCCACAGCAGCCAAGGCCCCACAACTTGCTCTCATTGCTGTTACTCTTTGCAGAAAGGTCTTGACTCAGGGAAGCTCCTCATTGCTATTTTCACTTTTCCGCGTTTGCTTAAGTAATTCTTGCGTGTGTATCCATGGCCGAACTCTCGCTATCAATTGCCAACTCGTATAGACAAACATAAAGGTTTACCAAATTACTCCCATATACCGCATAATATATCCACTATCTATCTATCTATCTATCTATCTATCTATCTATCTATCCATCTATCTAACCACCCACCATCCCATCAATCTATACAGAAAACCTGCATATATATTTATATATATATATATATATATATATATATATATATGCATATATATACATACATAATATACATACATATATACATACATAATATACATATATACATACATAAATATACATATATACACATAACATATACATATATATTACATACATACATTACATATATACATACATACATTATACATATATATACATACATACATATACATAATACCATACATACATATACATATACATACATATACATATATACATACATACATACATATACATCATACATATACATACACATACATTCATACATATATATATATATATAATATATTATATATATAAGGTAAGGGAAACTAGCCATAAATAGACCTTCCACGGCAGACATATGTAAACACACATCCTCCAAGAACACATGCGAAACATATGCGCAGAGATAACGAGGGCGCAGGTGGAGCAGCCAGTCAGCCAGCTCACACACACACACACACACACACACACACACACACACACACACACACACACACACACACACAACACGCACACACGCACACACACTTGTTCATTTTTATCATCTGGTAGAAGTTCCATAAAGAATGAAATGGCCAAAAAAAAAATGTGTGTGTGTGTGTGTGTGTGTGTGTGTGTGTGTGTGTGTGTGCGTGTGTGTGTGTGCGTGTGTGTGTGTGCGTGTGTGTGTGTGTGTGTGTGTGTGCGTGTGTGTGTGTGCGTGGTGTGTGTGTGTGTGTGTGTGTGTGTGTGTGTGTGTGTGTGTGATGTGTGCGTGTGTGTGTGTGTGTGTGTGTGTGTGTGTGTGTGTGTGTGTGTGTGTGTGTGTGTGTGTGTGTGTGTGTGTGTGTGTGTGTGTGCTGTGTGTGTGTGTGTGTGTGTGTGTGTGTGTGTGTGTGTGTGTGTGTGTGTGTGTGTGTGTGTGTGTGTGTGTGTGTTGTGTGTGTGTGTGTGTGTGTGTGTGTGTGTGTGTGTGTGTGTGTGTGTGTGGTGTGTGTGTGTGTGTGTCGTGTGTGTGTGTGTGCGTGTGTGTGTGGTGTGTGTGTGTGTGTGTGTGTGTGTGTGTGTGTGTGTGTGTGTGTGTGTATGTGTGTGTGTGTGTGTGTGTGTGTGTGTGTGTGTGTGTGTGTGTGTGTATCTACGTGCACCTATCTGCGTAATACCACTATGTTTATATGTTGATCTCTGAGAGTTAGCAAGTAAATACGACTATTTTACTTGCATATAACAACCATGCATGTTTGTGTACGCTCATGCATGTACTTCACACACATACGCGTTTGTGTACGTAATGTTTAACTATGCACGTGAATGTTCAAATGTGTGCACTCAGGTAACTCTTGAACACAAGTATCAATTGTTTCAAGCCCCATGCTCCCATGTGCACAAGCGTTGCACAAACGTATGCACGCTCAAAAGCAGGCATAGCAACAAAATGCAAAACAAACACCAACGTACCCAATTCACGTGCAATATTCCCTAAATGCTGGGACCAAGACGCAATGCACGTATTAATGTTTTTCTCTTTTTTTTTTGTTCTTCCTAGTGTTTATATCAGCAGGAACGAAATACTTAAGGGACTGCTGTACTTATTGCATTCTCTTGTATTTTTGCTTTACTTTATCTCCATTCTTAAAAAAAAAAACTACCCGTCACCGAAACAGCTCTTCCAACGAGACCAGTTCGCAAGAAGGACGACCACCCAAACAGTCCCACGACCCAGGGACAGAGAGAGAGACCTACCACCTACAGGAGAACGACTTGGAAGATGTACAGCGCATGGTTTAAAGGGGGCGTTCCATTGAGCTTAGCAAACAGGGGGGGGGGTGTGCCTCGAATGGACGTTGAAACAGTAAAATTATCCCCTTTTTATCAAAGGTTATTTACCTGCTGTCTCTCATATAGGGTGTTTGACGTGAAGTGGCAATTATTATATATATCATATTTTAATCAGTTGAAATAAACAACATTCGAAATCAGCGGCAAGTTTCCCTCCGCGAAAGAAAACGAATAACTCCGGATGGGGAACTTCACCAAAAACAACAACACAGGGACGAGAATGAGAAGACGGATAATTCCCGACTACTCCAGAGAGCTTACTTTGAAATCTAATTGGCTCCATACCGTACTCTTTCAAACGGACAGCGGCCATTGTACTAATAACCGTTATATTTCCTCTTCCATCGCACTAATGCCTTCCTCCTTTCACTTTAATCAGCCCAGCACCCGCACCCGCTGAAGAGGAGGGGTCGGTGGCCCCAATTGCCCGTCGCGTGACCATGGCAATCAAAAGCACCTATGGCGTCTACCTCCAGTGCTGAAACACAAGCTCGTCCTCGATCAACAGCATCACAAACAACGCTACTCCTTGCCACTACTTATACTGCCTGCTACTACTGCAATTGCTACCACGAATACCAACACTATCACCTCAACTACCATTAAATCACATCTACCACTCAACTACATTACCATCACATCTACCACCTCAACTACCACTACCATCACATCTACCACCTCAACTACCATTACCATCACATCTACCACCTCAACTACCATTACCATCTACCATCATATCACCACCTCAACTACCATTACCATCACATCTACCACCTCAACTACCCATCACATCTCCACCTCAACTACCATTACATCACATCTACCACCTCAACTACCATTACTCAATCTACATCACTACCATACATCACATCTACACCTCAACTACCATTACCATCACATCTACACCTCAACTACCACTACCATCCTACACTCAAACTACCCGCACACATCCACCAAACCCACTACCATCCCCCCCCAAAAAAAAAAGCCTAATCGACGAACTATACCAACCAAACCGAACAGAAAAAGTAAAATCGAAGAAAGCTAAGTAAAAGGCTGTGTGTGTGTACGTATGCTTGTATATACGTATGCTTGTGTGTACGAAGTAAAAGGCTGTGTATGTGTGTGTGTACGTATGCTTGTATGTACCTATGCTTGTGTATGCGTATGCTTGTGCGTGTGTACTTATGCTTGTGCTTGTGCGTGTGTACTTATGCTTATGCTTGTGCTTGTGCGTGTGCGTTTGCGTGCGAGCCTTGTGTGCGTGCTTGTAAAGGGAGGATTGGGGAGGGGGGAGCGGCCAAAGGCGCATACTCACGCGTCTAGGAAAGGGATGTCCGTTGCTTGCAAGATGTTCAGGTAGATGCACTTGCTCACCAACTTCTTGGAGTACTTAGCCATCAACCTGGAAGAGAGCGAACGTTGGCATTAGTCATAACGGTAACGAGACAATTTTAAGTCATGAATTTTAAACAGAGAAGGAAGAGGAGGAGGTTGAGGGGAAGGAGGAGGGGGGAAGAAGGAGGGGAAGAAGAAGGAGGAGGAGGAGGAGGAGGAGGAAGCAGGGGAGAAGATGAAAGGAGGGAAGAGAAGGTGGAGGAGGAGAGAGCGGGATGGAAGCAAGTGGGAGACGAGATGGAAAAGTGAAGTAAGTAGTTAGGACGTTAAAGAGGACAGAGGGAGTTACGAAATGGGAGGGAAAAGGGAGGGGAAGTTGGGGAGAGAGAGAGAGGGAGATAAAATGAGAAAGAATGAGAAAGACACACGCGCGCGCACACACACACACGTTACAGAAAGAGAAGAGAGAGAGAGAGAGAGAGAGAGAGAGAGAGAGAGAGAGAGAGAGAGAGAGAGAGAGGAGAGAGAGAGAGAGAGAGAGAGAGAGAGAGAAGAGAAGAGAGAGAGAGAGAGAAAGAGAGAAGGAGGAGAGAAAAGAAGCATAAGCATATGGAACGCGAACTAACTCGGAAACATATGTATTCGATACGACAAGAGAAAGCGAAGATAACAAAAATCGCGAATAGTGGCAGCCGCTCCATGTGTTCAGACAATAAAACGGAATCGCACAGGGCATCAAACCATCACTTACGTCGAGAAAACCCCAATCGCCGACACGAAACAATTGAGAGAGAGAGAGAGAGAGAGAGAGAGAGAGAGAGAGAGAGAGAGAGAGGAGAGAGAGAGAGAGAGAGAGAGAGAGAGAGAGAGAGAGAGAGAGGAGAGAAAAAAAACGGAAGCCATAAGCATTAAGAAAACGCGAACTAACTCGGAAACATATGTATTCGATACGGCAACAAAATGTCGCATCATTCGGGGCAGATGCCAGTGTCGCGAGTGTGTAGGCTGCACCTGGCCTGTCAGGGGATGGGACGTGGGGATGGGGTAAGGGAGGGGTAAAGGGGGGGGAGGGGTAGGGAGGGGTAGGGTGGGTAGGGGTGGGGGTTAAGAGAGGAGCGAGGTGAAAAGAAGGAGAAAAGAGAAAAGGAGAATGAAGAGGAGGAGAGTAGAGGAGGGGAGAGGAGAAATGAGAGATAGGAGGAGGTACAGGCAGACAGAGAGACAAGAAAGAGATGGAAGAAGGAGAGGAGGAGAGGAGGAGGGAGGAGGAGTGGGAGAAGCACAGGAAGAGAATTTAAGAATGAGATAGAGAGAGATTAAAAGGAGCAGGGAGGGAGGGAAAGACCAAAAGGAAGACGACCAAACGAATAGATAGATAGAAAGATAGATGGATACTTAGATAGATAGATAGATCAACAGATAGATAGATAGTTAGATAGACAGAGAGAAGAATGAAGACAACGAATACATGGCGCAATCCACACGTCCAGAAAGGAACGCACACAATACATGTCCGAATTCTGTCGCGACCACCAACCCATATATCAGGGAATGAACAAAGTACAACGTATATATATATATAAATTATTTACGGATCTTATCGATTCTACATTAGCGTCGCACAAAGGCTCCGGACCTGCAATGATTGCTACACTCTTGCACGAACTGGCACCGGCAAAGACACTTTCACTCTTCCACATTCGAGTGGAAAACAAATACAACGTTGCTAAGACGAATACGACCACAAATACACAATACATACATACAATACATACAAACAGACAGACAGAGACAGACACAGACAGACAGACAGACAGACACACACACACACACACACAGACACAGACACACAGACACACACACACACACACACACACACAGCACACACACGTATACACACACTTGCTCTTATCCTCTGGCTCCCGACCCCTGCCCGCTCTGTGTGTTCGTGTACAAAAGACAGGTCACACATGATGCAATAACTCCCAGCTCGCACAACAGACCCGCTTACACAACCCTTACACAACCCTTCGAGACCAAAACCTATTACACGAACCATCGGATTCATCGACCATTACGTAACCAGTGGATATATTGACCACTACGTGACCATCGCATATATCGCCCGTTGAACAACCATCGACCCCCAGAAACGTCGACCAGTGCGATGGCACCTACAACCTCCCCGCCTTCCCCCCCCACACTACCCGCTCCACTCCTCCTCCTCTCCTCCTTCTCTTTCTCCTTCCTTTTTCTTCATTCTTCTCCTCCTCCTTTTTCTTCTCTTTCTCCTCCTTTTCTTCTTCTTCTTCTTCTTCTTCTTCTTCTTCTTCTTCTTCTTCTTCTCCTCCTCCTCTCCTCCTCCTCCTCCTCCTCTTCCTCTCTCCTCCTCCTCCTCCTCCTCTCTTCTTCCTCCCTCCTCCTCCTCTCCTCCTCCTCCTCTTCTTCTCTTCTTCTTTCTTCTTCTTCTTCTTCTTCTTCTTCTTCTTCTCTTCTTCTTTCCTTCTCCTTCTCTTCTCCTTCTCCTTCTCCTTCTCCTTTCCTCTCTCCTTCCTCCTCCTCCTCCTCCTCCTCCTCCTCCTCCTCCTCTTTCTCCTTCTTCTCTCTCCTTCTTCTTCTCCTTCTCTCCTTCTTCTTCTCCTTTCTTCTTCTCTCTTCTTCTTCTCCTTCTTCTCTCCTTCTTCTTCTCCTTCTTCTTCCTCCTTTCTTCTCCTTCTTCTCCTCCTCCTCCTCTTCTCCTCCTCCTCCTTCTTCTCCTCCTCCTTCCTTCCTCCTCTTCCTTCCTCCTCCTCTTCTCCTCCTCCTCCTTCTTCTCCTCCTCCTCTTCTCCTCCTCCTTTCCTCCTCCTCTCCTCTCTCCTTCTCCTCCTCCCTCCTCCTCCTCCTCCTCCTCCTCTTCTTTCGTCTTCTTCTTCTTCTTCTTCTTCTTCTTCTTCTTCTCCTCCTCCTCCCTCCTCCTCCTCCTCCTCCTCTCCTTCTTCTTCTCCTCCTCCTTCCTTTCTTCTTCTCTTCTCCTTCCTCTCCTTCTCCTTCTCTTCTCTTCTCCTTCTCCTTCTCCTTCTCCTCTTCTTTCTCCTTCTCCTTCTCCTTCTCCTTCTCCTCTCTCCTCTCCTTCTCTTCTTCTCCTTCTCTTCTCCCTCTCCCTCTCCTTCTCCTTCTCCTTTCTTCTCCTTCTCCTTCTCCTTCTCCCTCTCCCTCTCCCTCTCCCTCTCCTTCTCCTCTTCTTCTTCTTCTTCTTTCTTCTTCTCCTTCTCTAAGCCGCATCCACACATCCGCAAATAACAACGGACGACTCCCCGAGACAGCCAC